GAGTTGTGCTGGTGCCTGGTTTGTGCTTAAATCATTTGTCACTACATTGGGTGAAAGCAGAACAGACAAACTATACTCCACAAACCCTAGCTTCACCATTAATACTTCAAAAAAAGTTTTTCTATGAATGTAATTTAAGGACGTAACGTAGGCTGCATTTTCACTAGGCAACTGCAGCAAACCAGTTACACAAACAAGTCTTCCAAGTATGAACAGGTCTTGAGTCAGTGGTCAGAGTCTCACGGGACAGAAGCGGGCGAAGGTATTCCATCCTGAAATTTGTATGTTGGAAAAACACACCAGTGGTCACAAATCTGATGCTTAGCTGTAGATACTAACAACTACTCAACTCTTAAATATAAGGGTTTTTTTCTCCTGTGCTTGTCAGTTCTCACAACTTCAAGAATTATTTCCTTATTATGTAAGCACACAAGCTGCTTATTCAAGAGCACCTTGTTTCCACATGAACTACAGTCTGAGAAATCCCTCCCATGTACAATCCACTCTACAGCCGATTATGTCAAACTTTTCTTCATCAAGCAAAATAATTCTGATCTGGTGCAGTTAGTTTTCATTATCCTTGACTCTGAAAATCACATGTTGACAAAGAGTTAAGGTTAGTCAAAGACTGGTTAATTCCTCTTATTTCTATTATAAAAGGAAGACCTTTCAAGTAAATCCTTAATAAACCATCATAAGAGCAAAAATTTTAAAAATAAGAAGAACCTGTGTACACACCTCACTTCACTAAATTAGCACAAGTTTATACATAGACAAGACCTTGGCAATTTAAGAACGCTTTGAAATTAGTTTGGCTAATCCAGATGAAGACACTATCTTGCCATAGACACCTTTGAAAATACAGCTTGGTAGAAACAAGCTGGACCAGCCAGAACAGGTAAGTGGATTGGGGACAGAAGGGCATAAATGCAGACGACTACAGAGACCGAACCGGAGGTTTGGGGTTTTTCAGTAACACACCACTGTTTAAGTGCTCAGGTAAGGCAGTTTAGAACGTTATGTCCCCTGCAATCTCCATTTCTACACCAACAGTTGCAGTTCAATATTCATCAGGTGTCTGGTGGAGTTCTCTGAACTCCGAATCAGATGGTCTTTTCTTCGGAGAGAAGCTTCCAGTAACGCTAAACCTTTTGGTGAAGCTACTGACGGGACTGCCCTGGGCAGTGAAACAGCGCGAGGCACGGCACTGCTGCTGTGGGAAGTCAGCATTCAGCACGGCTCCGCGCCAGCCGTGGAGCACAGCACCCGCCTTCCGGACCCGGCAGATGCTCAGACTGGGAAATCCGTGCTACGAACTGGTACAGCCGGGCTGGGCTGGGCTGCCGGCGCCCCTTGGCAGGCAGGGCAGTGCCGGCTGAACCAAGTCCCTCCCCACCCGTCTCCGCGGAGAGGTGGCACACCTGCACACCTCGCCCCTCCTCTTGTCGCAGCCCTGTCACAGTTCTTTCCGTGATGAAGCTATGTGTACAAATGAAACCCTCCATTTGCAGTTAAATCCTTCAAATTTTTAAATTAAACAAGTTCCAAGATATTCCATTACATAACTGAAAGAACTACTCAGACTCATATTTTTGCCGTTTCCATACAGGTATTTCTCGAGCACGTTGCATCACAAATAATAGATTCACAATGTTCTCATGTCTGCATAGTGTTGAGAAGAATTTTAATTTTCTGAGTTTTGGTATCACAGAGAACTGGTGTTTGATACAAGCTACCTTATTACACAGGAAAAAAACCACCATCATTTACAGTGTCAAAATACAGCAAACTGGGGTGTTTGCAATGTGTGAATGAGACATTTGGTATCACTAATACAAGCTTATTCCTAGAGAAACAAACCACAAAACTCAGTGTAGTCTTCAAAATAATTTACATGGGATTTAGAGGGAACTAGTTTGAACTCCTTTTATGTAATAAAAAACTTAAAGTCTATTTTTTTTAAGACCTTAACTACCTGTTGAGAAGATACTATTTTGATGCTCGCTAAAATTTAACTATTCCTATGTTAAACTCATCATTCACGTGTCCTCACTCATCCACCCAGCTCCAGGCACACCAAAACCGCTGGTACCCGCGAAGGCTGGGTTACTCAGCCTGGCTACGCAGCATCTCTCTGTACCTGAAGCGAGCACAATTGGTATGAATTGCAGACTTCAGCACCTGACAATGGTTTACCAATTCTATTGTAGTTTCCATTTTTACCCCAAATGGATTAAAACCTCTTCAAAATCCTCACTTGTACCTTGTGTAAGACTTAGCTATATTCTAAGTAATGCTGTTATTGAAGTTACAAGTGCTTAAAACTGACTTTATTCTCTAGCCAGCTGCATTAACAAAACTATATTCCCCATTATTTTAGTTACAATTAAACATGCTAGCAGTTACCTTGCCTCACTGGGAGTAGAAGGGAAAAGAGCCTCTTTTCAACTGCAAGCGTTCAAATAGTCTATCCAGTTTTGTTGTCTCTAGAATCCTAGGGACAACACACCCCTATAAAGTGCAGAAATTAAAGATTCAGTGAATTTCTGTCCTGTGTCCGAGTAACAAACTAGAACAGCTTCTGCATGATCCATTTTTACTATAACACAATACCTTCAAACAGGTGCAGACATTTAAATCACACCCAAGTTATGGCCTTTCAGAAACAAGTATAAGGCAGCTGACAAGAGTTTAGTGGTTGCCCACAAATTCAGGAAGGAACTTTTGCACTAGGAGCCTACCTTTTTGACAAAGGACTATTTCAGGTTTTGAGCCAAGGTATTTCCAGGTTCTCTACTGCCTGACAAGACAGGTCAGGTTCTGTCAGCTCAGTAACCCTGTTAACAGTGAAGATGGTGGGAAAGCATGAATACCTGGTGACCTGGGCAGAGGGGACAAGAAGACACGACATCAGCTAGGACGCAAGAACACTCAGCATATAGTAAGCTACGAAAACATTTCAAGGACATCTCTTGGTAGCCTATGTACACATCGGAAAGTTTATCATGACAATGACTTGCACAAAAAAAGCCTTATGTCAGCGAGATCAATTTTAAAAATACTTACAGCTTTTTTATTTGAAGAACAGCACACCTATGGCTTCCGAAGTGACCAGAACATCGACTAACCATCTTTTAGTTTAGAAGACTACGGACATTCTTCAGCCAAACGCTACCCAGAGAAATCATTTTACTTAATGATCCCTCGTAACTTGGCTCTGAGATGGCAGACTTGCATTGAGGATGCTTGTAACCCATGAACTATGAACAGGGATCAGTTAACCGAAACAGGAGTGGAAATGTCTTGAAATCATTTAAGCATGTGTGAGTAAGTTAGACGGGAAGGGAGGGTAATGAAATTAAGGAGGAGTCATCAAGATTAAGACAAATTAAGTCATTCAAGTGTTCCCTCCCTCCTTCTGTACAACATTTGACAATGAAATCAAATTCACCCCTTTTGCTGCTTTCATCACTTTGCCCCTGCAGGCTAAAAATGCATTCCCAGCAAGAGTTCTTTAAATAAAAAGCAAATCCTTTAAATGAAAATTTAAATTTATTTTGAAATTTTAAATGTCATTTCTATCAATTTAGACACACTTTGACATTATCAGATCAGAAAATTTACAGTGACTCATGGATAAAGATTTGGCTTTTACATTCAAATGTTAAGTACTTCAGAATAGCTTTGTCTTGTTATTTCCAAACCAGAAACACTGAAGAGCATTTTATTTTGCCTTTCAACCATCTTCGTTAATTAACAGACTTCTGATATCTGCTGTACTTTGAGAACACGCACAACACCAAAGGAATTACTTTGTTTGAATGGAGTGAGTGCCTTAATTACAGTTCCAGATTTAAGACTAGTTGACTGTAGCACCAAAAGGCAGTGCTAAATAGAAAGACAAGATATTTTTTTTTTAAATATATTTTCCTCAGGTAGACTGCAGAGCCCGACCTACTTGGAAAGCCTCTTTATGAGGGTAAAAAGGTCTAACATCACACAGTCTTAAAGTTTAGCAAGTTTTGTTCAGTTCTCATAATTATTTTGGAAACAGTATTACAGAATTCCATTGCTATCCTAACACTATCGTATTAGTGGTTAACAACAAAACTCAGCATCAGACTTAATTGTGTTGATTTTATTGCTTACTACAGTTGATTTTCCTACTCTCTAGCACTCACTTGAAACCAGATAAATATATGCAGGGAAGAGGTTTGAGCAATTTGCCCATTCTGGCAAGCAGAGTGCCCCTCAAGCATCTACAACGTAATTAACTGTTCCAAAGTGAACCTCCGACCGCCCCTCTCCAAGAGGGACGGCCTCCCACCACGCATCTTAAGAGTTCAGAACCCCTCCAATGTGTAAAAACAATGCAAAGCTCCAAAGCCCTGAAAATTGCTTACAAATTTCAGAGTACAACTTGTATCATATGCTGACAAATGGAATCTTGTAGTAAGGTACTCAGTTAAGATTCCTTTGCATACACATTAGTGCAAAAGACTGCTACTGCCTTCCGTCAGCAAGCAGCACATCAGGGAAGAGCTGGGACCACAGCAACAACTTTGTGCTACAGTCAAGCATTTGTAGTACTAACATATTGGGGGGGGGCATACATGGACATTTTGTTTTGTAAGAGGAAAATACTTCAGGACTCACATAATACATTTTCTCCCCCACCTTCGTTTCCACTGTCTGATGGAACATCACTAATAGTGGGCCAGAGATGCTCTCGTGCCCGATTCCAGAAGGCTGCTGCTTTTCAAGAATCACAGGCACACTCCCTCGTCAGAACACACAGCAGAAAGTGTGAAAGGTCTTTTGTATTACAGTTTTAGAAGCCACATAAGACATACATGTAATCTTAATCTGCCCTGCTGGTAAAGCCTGTGAACCTAGTTAATCCACAGGTACGATGATATGCATCTCAACACCCAACAAAACAAGTGTATTCATAAGCCTTTAAAGTATACAGAAAACTCAGTTCTGTCCTCTGATGCTGCTTTCAAGTTTGTTTTATTCACTCTTTTGGATGACTATAAATAAGTGTTTCCACTATGGAAAAGAAAGTTAGCACAGTACATTTTCATGACTGGGGAATGGACTTTTCTGAAGACATCTTCAAAAGGGCAAAAGCTTAGAAAAAACAACCTGAACATTGACTTCAGTTCCTTATAAAGTCCCTTGTAAAAATTAAAAAAAAAAAAAAAAGAAAACAAAAGAAAGAAAAAAGTAAAGGAAAAACTGCAAGGCCAGGATGATTTATTGCTTTTCTTCAGTTTTTTCCTTGGTCTCTTTCTTCTCAGTTTCTTTGCTCTCTTCCTTTACAGAAAGCTCTTCTAGTTTTTCAGCAACTTTATCAGCACTATCATTTTTGTCTGTGCCTGCTAAGAGATTGATTAGGAAAAACGTTACACACAGGCAGTAGCGCATTTTCCTAGTACAAGAGAGAGTAGAGAAGTAGAGGATGGGGAGAGACAGCTGGTATTTAGAATAAGGAAAAAGTAAAGAAATTCTCCACTGAGCACTGGAGTGATTAATTCATTTTTTTTTTGTCCTTTGGTAACTACCTCAGATGTCAGAATTCAAGAAATACCACCTGTCCCTAGCTTCTTACCCGTTTTAACAAAAAAACAAAAGTCAAGTTTCTCAGTTTGAAACTGGGGAATAGGAAGTTCTTCAGACTGGAAAATTCCAATCTAGATATCATGAAGAGCGTTGACTGCAGACCACTAGTGGTGCGCGCACTTTAGAAGACTGAAATTTATTTTAGATGGTGAGATATCTAGTCACACAGGCTATTCCATGACATGGCGCATTGATCTATTAGAGACCTGTGAAGAAACGCTATAACTTCATACATGTTAACAACTGTAAAAAAAAAAAAGTATTCTACTTGCATGATTATACATTTGAGGAATTTGGGAAGAGGAACTTGAAGGAGGAAATATCACTGTGGTTGCAGTGTCCACGGTTCATCTGAGTACTGTAAACTGAAATGCTTCCTTAGTAGCCCTTCTAAAAAAGCAGTGTCCCAACAGCAACTGTAACAGCCTTCTACAAGAAAGAAGGCAGTTGTCACCCCTGCGAACTATTGCTCTTGCAGACAGAAAAAGCACCTGAACTGAAGACTGCAGTTCAGTACAGAGTGAGTCTGCTAAAACACAATGATGGTCCAGGGGCTATAACCACTCCAACAGCTAGAAAAAGCAGCATGGCACTACATGTCGACTTTTAACCTTACCTTTCTTTGCTCTCTTGTCTACTTCATTCCTGCATTCTTCAAATTTTGCCTTGAATTTCTGTGCATCTGTTTCAGTAAAGACAATATTTTTCATTAGTTTTACCTCCTTACAACACTGAATACTCCCAATCTTGAGGAAACACACCTGAGAAGTTTTGTGTAAACAAGAGTTGTAAGCACTTATGAAGTAATCTAGTTGAAATCACACAAGATGCTATGCAAAATTCTTCAGTCACATCTTTGTGTAGCAGCAGTTTATTTTATTTAGCAAGTCTATTAAAGCGGCTTATTTTGCAAAATACTTAGAACATAATTCTAGAAGGAGCTGTTTTGTAGTTATTACAACTCCCAGCTGTCCCTAGCCTACAGGAATAAGAATACGATGTCAAAGACTGCTAATGCGACTATCCGTGTGCAAAAGATGGAAGATTAGCTTTGAACTACTATCCTTGCCAGCTACATTATACCCTAAAAGACCTCCAACATCCTTACCATAACTTAGGGTTCTTGGCATCAGGAATGGAAGATAAAGCCTGTTTCATTAGTACAGCATTCAGATTTAAATACCCAAATAGTCTGACTCAAGCTACTCCTAACTACACCTGCTAAGGAAGCGTAGTCTTCATTATGTTTTGGTCTAAGCCACCACTCGATGGAACAGTCGTTCCAAGCAGCTGATCAAGTTACAATAATGTTTCTACACAAGCAATACAAGCAACATGACACAAAAGCAGATCAGGCGAGGTACCTTCTAACACCGGCACTCTAAAGGCAACTCGGTATGCCGCCTGGTCTGACTGACCACATGAGGTCACTGTTGCCCCACAGGAGTTCAGAAGCCACTGTAGAACTAGTCCAGGCGTATTTGTATCGCTTCCTCTTCGAGCATCTCAAGAAGCAAAGACACTTGAAGGGCACACTTATGTCTGCTCACCTGCCATCTGCTTAGTCAGTACTGCAAAGGGTAAACAGGCAAAGAGGGCTATATTCCCTCAAGCCAAAACACTTAGCTGAACAACATCTACCAGAAGGAAAGACTTTGCAAGAGGAGCAAATAGTTACCAAACCCCCCTTAATTTCGTATTTGATTAAGAAGCAAGCACTAAGCAGGCAGATCTGAAAGATTTACTTGGCTAAACAGTATGGTGTAGGAGACTTGAGGAAAGGGAATTAAGCAAGATATACCAAGTTCTTCCCAGATGTAGGCAAATCCATCTAATTTTAAAATATACACTCACTTTATTAGCCATCTGGCAGGTAGGGACAAGAGGTGGCTAACACACTGAACTTGTGTGGCAGACAAAGCAAGAAACACTATTTTTTCTCTTTCTTTTTGTTTATTTTTTTTCAAGATAAACCCCCACTTCTTTGATTCAATCCTAAGGACCTGGGAAAGCTGCACTGTCCTTCAGCCCTACTAGCTGATCCTTATAATTACAGAGCTACTTTCTGTTGTGGTAGTCAATGCAGTCACCCCAGAAAAACCCACCAACTAGTACGCTACTTGAGCTTGACTAACACTTTTCACCAAGTGCTCCATTTAATTAAAATAAAAAAGATACTACATATTTCATTAAGAAAAGAATCAGATGTTCTGCTAAATGCAGATAGACCAGAAATCTCACGTATTTCCTTCCTTCTAATACAAAAATGTAACCTTAACTACAACTGAGCAACTGAGATAAATGCAAGCAAGTTGCATGTATTAATCTCTACCCCATAGTATTACTGCTTTTAGTTTTATTCTAATCAGCATTACACTTGCATGAAATGGCTTAAGTTTAAAAAAAAGTGCCTAGGGCAGAAAGCTCTGTAAATATTACTGGAGACCTAATTATTACACTGTTTGTCAACACATACGGTTAAGTGATTAACTGACTTCTCTCAGTTAAAGCAGTAATTAGCTAACACTACCATGCAGCAGTAAGATATAGCTTATCTACAACAGTGGTTTACATAGGGTTTAGACATGCAGGGTAACATAACAATCAAGGTATGTTCAGTGCCAGTCCACTCACTCTCTGCATTTAAAAACCGGATTGCCAGAAGTTCAGGCTTGGGGCTTTCATCTGCAAAGTCAGCATGTGTGTTCCAGACCCATGCCCTGTCACTCCCAGCGTTAGGCTTCAGCTCCATTAAGGGTGTGACTGAAAAGAAAGCATTAAAAGTTGTACACAGCACAATAGTAAATGTTTTCCACTCCAGCCTCTATAAATCTTATTGACAACTGTCTGTGATGGTTATGGAAAGCACTTTACACAGAATTACCTTCTGATAAATAGAAGACAATGATGCCCATATACATTTTTCCTTACATCTTCAAAGGAAATGAAGCATGACCATTACTGTATAAGCGAATGCCAGATTCCCTATTGTTAAGAAACTGACAGTTTGGTTCAGTCCTTGTTTAGAGCAGATGACTGTGATACTAAGAGAGATGCAAGTCACTAGGTACAACTCTGAAGAACAGTCAAATGGTTTAAGAGGAAAAGGAATCTAAACAGCTTGCTTCCTTTCACTGAAAATACTACATACTACAAAAAATTATTTTAAAGACAGCATTATGCCTACAATTAGTCATCAAATCAGGTTCCTTTCTCTCCCATCAGTTCAAGCTCTACTATAACCTATTATAGAATTCTGCAGTGCTGAGAGATGCGCACAGCATATTTTCAAACCCTTTGTTCCTTCCCAGTAAATGGAGCCCCTTCCCTCCAAGACACTACAATTACTTCACCTGACTGACTGGAGAAGTTGGAACGTTACTTCTCACACTACTCTAAGACTGTTTACATGACACTCACGCAAATTATGGCAGGGCTTTTTTTCTCTCCAACCCCTGGGTTCTTCATTTAGTTCAGGACAGATCTGAAGAATCTACTCACTTTCTTGCATTTTTTTAAATTTAGGGATCAAATTACATTTCGTTTCATTTAATGGTTTGCAAAAATTGAGTCCTTTTGTCTGCCTGTGAGTCAGCATAAATTCAATAAAGAAATCTATGTTGAAAGCATTGTTTCCAGGAAAAAAAAACTTTACATGAACACTATAAATTTATCAGTTACGATTTGCATGTACAACACTTACTTTCCTAAGCAAAGGGTTTATTATTATGGGTTGGTGACTATATTGCTTTCATATTTGCCATTTCATTTACTGAACAGGAACACCTGTGTCCTCTGAATAGTCTGACTTTGTGAAGAGATCTACCCAAAGAAAATAAGCATTATTTAATTATTCATTTAAACCCCACAGACTACTATATACTCTTCATACTAAAACCTAAGTATTATCAAAGCAAGGTAACAAAGTATGACCAAATTAGTCTACTTGTTGCTAGTTATATTGATTTTCAAGTCTGTCTTGCCCTTTCATGTTTGATGTTTTCATGTTTCACTTATTACATGGTTGCTTATTTCTCATTCTTTTATGAAAACAAGCCAGCATATATTAATTTCTTATCCAAAACAGTAAGAAGGCCTACATTTTCTACACTCTATTAAAAGCACACACACATTGGGAGCAATCACATAATGCAAAATTTTCAAGGGTTTTTAGAACACCATCAAGAGTCTGAAGCAAAAACATCATTAAGACTTAGCCCTTCAGGCAATCACCAAACCAAACTACAGCTTCCTTCCATTAATAGAATAAGCACTCATTGTTTCTGATGTTTGTAGCCTTGTGTATAGAGCAAGAGACAACTACATTCACAGTCTAATATAAACTTGATGCATGTTTAAAGACATACAGCAATTCTCTACCTGCTACTAAAAAGCCACTGAGCTCTTCATCTACAACATACAATTCTGCAAGCTTATTTTTTAAAACAAAAATAAGAAGTATAACAACGTATAACATACTATAATGGTTTGCACAGATTTTTAGGGTTTTATCCCTCCTCATGAGGAGGCGAATTGTTCCCTTCTCCTTGTGTTTCAGGAGTTTTACGTCACCAGTTCCTCGTTCTTTCCATTCTGGAAGGTCATTCTCAGATGCAAATCGGAACAGCTTTGCTCGCCTTGAAGAAGAGAGAATTTAAACAAGTCAGCCTGCATGTAGAAACATTTATCAGAACAGCATACTTGACTGAACAGTACAGTTATTTTTCAAAAGCCGCACACAAGAAAGAAAATAATTCCTTCTGCAAGGTTCCCTGCTCTATTTCAGCTAAAATTCTACTGAAATTTAGAAACTGATATGACAAATTCAAATTTAATAACAAGCTATTAGGAATTATGTAATAGCTATACTAAAATTCAACAGGTTCTGGACACTTTTGGGGGGTGATAAACATATTTGCTATAGGCAACCTTTTAAATTAAGGTAGCTAATGAACAAGTTTTGCTATAGCTAGAGTTTTTATGTATATTATGAATACAATGGCTCCATCTAACTGGCAACATTTATTAACTCAAGCAACCGAGCAGCTTGAGGCTAAGTAAAGTTTGTTGTATAATTCTAAGCCCAGTGTTTGATCAACTGTTAGCCTCTAGAGTCACTTAATTTCCTTTTAACCCCCAAAACGTAGTTGTTGCTATTCTTAAATATTCATGAATAAAGGAAACTTAGTGCTGCACTGCAGTGCAACATACCTGCTTCAGAACATCACTGTTTCATCTTCCAAGATGCCAATGTGCCGAAAGAGAAACAGGAGTAGTTTGGGACATTAATCAAAACTGACCCAAGAGACAGTCTGAGCTCTGCTAGGGAGGAGTTTAAGGCACTGCTATAGGAAAGGAAGCACCTGTTCACACTACAGGATATATACATACTTTTCTAAAAAAGAGCAAGGGATCGGGACTTGTCATAAGCCAGGTCCTTCAAAAGAAGGTGTCAGGTGTTGGAGCAAGCTACTCTACCAGCTGCTCTGATGCAGATGAACTACTTCGTTACAAATCAAGCCCTTCCTTCCAAGTCCAGCTGGCATTCAGTAGGTGATTCCCCTAAGCTTAGCTATCAGAACAACCAGCATTCATAAAAACGATTCCTTTCCTTCTTCACCCCTTTGTAGACATAAAAACGAACCTACAGAGCACTGAAACTTGCACTATTATTCCCCCCCTTAAATAACACTTTTATTAGAATCTGCATAAGAACTCAAATCTCTCTTCCAGACAAACAACACTCTTCTGCAATTAAGTAAAAGCAGTATTTTAAAAACTTATTATAAGTAAACATATCATGGGTCAAATTCAAAACACTTCCAAAGAAACATGCAGGCTAAAGGCAGATCATACATCTTAAGCAAGCTATCTTGATTTGACAATAAGCCAAATCTGAGGACAAAACTATCTTTAAGACAACAGAAGGATACTGCCACAAATGCCCCGATATAGTCCTGCATCTATTGCTTTTATTGTTTCAGTATATCACACATCACCCTTTACAACTGGGGATGCGTGGCAGTGACACTATACAGGTCTCATTTTTTCCCCCAAGATATTTCTTTTATACTGTGATCACACAATTTTGAACCTCTAATTACTATCCAACTTAATGTCTTCTTTTAGGCTAAGCAATACTGAAGCCAGATTCACAGTATCAGCTCGCTTCCATTGTTCCAGACTTCAGAGTTTCTTGGGACATTATTAAAAATCACACCCCCCCCCAATCTCTGCCACCACAGTAAATATCAACCAACTTCAATTACCACTTCATACACAGAGTCCTAACAAATTATCCAGCTTTTTATAAACTCATTCAAGTTTAAGCCTAATAAACATTTAGATAATACACATAAATACTGTACTTACATCTTAAAGAGTTCTTCCTCATCCTCTTCCAGAGTTTTTATTTCTTGCTCAGGAAGGGAAACTATGGGCTCAAACTGAGGATCATGGTTAGAATCATCTGCATTTTCAGTAGAAGTATCATGCTCCTCGTGTGTTTCCTGGAGACAAAAAAAGAAAAAATTCACAAGGCTTGCCATGTACTTAAATTCTGAAGTACTTGTATCTATGTTTAAAATTAAAACATTTATGATTATTCAGCAATTATATCTTAGTAACCAAATATCTCGTAATGTCAAAGAAAATTTATAGCTGAAAACAAATGGCTTTAAAGTCAACATACAGTTGCACTAAGAAACAAAAAAAGGTGATCTTGCAGTGCTAGATGTTTTAGCCCTACCACTCTTCTTAATTGTGCAGAGACTTGGCCTTGGAGTAATAGCTCTTGGTTATGGAAAAATAATTTCTTCAATTATTTTTCCCATATAATGTGTTTTATGCTACTAAAGCACTACTATTTCTTAGTAGCTAATGACCTATAATTAATGGGAAAAAAGAAAAAAGCACAACACCAAAGCACCCAGCTTAAGGGACACATTATATCCAGAAGTTCATTATTTCAGTTGTACGTATTAGAATCACCCACACACAGTTGCACAGTTGCAACATTCACGAAATAATTTAAGCTTTTTGATTTAAGACTCTTTGCGCAACTTTAGGTTATGGGTAAATGGCCAAAATTCTGCTTCCTATTTAGTTATTTAGTAATCTGCCACAGCATTTATTATGCCTAAGAATTGTTTTCAGTACGTGACTAGTAAGTAAATGATAAACATCTCTAAGATGTCATACATATGCACTGCTAAGAGGCACTCAGTAGAGATGCCTAGAAGGGAGACTCATCTGCAAATTTAACGAGGCCACAAACAACTATCTCAGGTCAAGGGAATTGATTTGGGGTTTTTTGTGAACAGAGAAGGGAAAGTGGTCTATACATTGAAGACATTTGGATGTGATCTTCACTTTACAGACGAAAGATTCCACCCTTACAGGGTCTATGTAGAGTATCCTTTACATAGCAGGTACACACCACACGTGTATAAAGCAACTGAAATTAAGCAGTTTATATTTACTAAATAGTAACAAAAAAGGGGGGGGCAAGGAGAAATTAGGTAAAAAATGCTGCAAAATAAAATCTGGTTTAGTCACCAACATCACACCAGCTAGAATTCGTTTTATGCCCCCACTGCTCCAATTAACGCACACCTGTTTTCAAGAAACAGGAAAAGGAACATTAGCCAAACTTTTATATATTGCCGCCTCCAGTAGCAAGTAGCACACCCCGTATCGTAACTCCACATTCCTTCTGCGCCTGACCAGTAAATTACAGAAGCCGTAAGAAATGCGCAATTCACAATAGCCACGTGAGAGAAAGCAGATCCCGTTATCACGACAAGATCCCGCCCCGCCGCGATATAAAGCACGTGGGGCTACTCCTCCC